GCAAGATAAGCTATTTTAAATGATAAAATACAGCTATTACAGGTGTTGAATAGAGGAAAAATTTATTGAACTTGAGAGATGGGATACAGGATACAGCAATCAGCTTTCCTTTTTTCACTAGACTAGAAGACTAATCTTCACTTAGACAACAGATACATCACCTTCTCTTAAAATTTCTTATGAAAATACATGGAAATGCAAGATCCTAACTAAGGATAACATTAAAGAAAAAAAAAATCTGCACTAATTCACTTCAGTAAAGTTAAACATAAAGTAAAAAAAAAAAAAAAGAGCAACGGAAATGTAATTTGGAAGTTGGCTTTTCTCCCCACAGCCACCTGCACTGAAACTCCCAGCTTCCATACCGTAACTAATAGGGTCCATCTTGGAAATTATCTTATATGTATGTGGAAGCAGTCAAGTAGCTAAGAATTATAACATTGTTTTTCTAATTTGTGTTTTTAAGATAAAATTTAAGAGGTTTGGAAGAATAAAAATTGATATTTAATTATTTAATTACTTAATTAAATTTAAGAGGATTTGACAGTAACAGTTAGGGTCATGTCATGAAGAAGCCCTTTGTATACTTCGCCAAAACCAAGTTTGCACCTGTTAAATCATCACGAAAGTTGTTAGTGGCAGCTAGGAGCTCAGCAACTGAAAATTGACGACATAGTTCCTCTGGAAGTGCTGAAGATTGTCTAATAATAGTAGCAGGTTTTGTTTTTCTTCCCCTTACTCGGGATTTTGCATTAACTGTAGTTTTCTTAAGAAATTTGAACAAAATTTGAAGAGAGATCATCAAGGAAGGTTCGGGAGAACAATTCTGCCATCTCATTGGATACAGTCATAACTCATCTCAGTGGTTCATTGATTTGGCTTCTTCATCCCCTATTGGTTTGATTTCTTCAATTTCTCATAGTTACTGAATCTGAAAGCACTAGCTGTTGTCTTCTTAGCCTAGAGGAGTTTCTGAGGTCTTTACTAGTTGTCTTTGGCGGAAAAGTCATGTAAGTCTCTAGTTTTTCTCTTCCTAGTGCAGGTCAGTTTCTTGGAGATGTCCTGCCCATCAACATCATAACAACTTGCATTCAGACTAGAGGGGAAGGAAAATGATGCAGGTGGAATTTTCACTGCAAGTTACCTACTCTGAACAAAAATTATTGACATTTCACAAACGGGGTTTTTACCTTAAAAAAATGACTCAGACCAGTGCTTAAAACTCACTAGAATTGATCCAAGAAGTAGTAGACAATTACATGGCTGGTGCTGTGGTACCCTTTCCTATGGAAAGGTTTGTGTATCCTCCTGATTGAGGAAGCCATACTGTTGTAGAGCATGCTGGATTGACTCCAGCAGTCAGCAGATGCAAACTGAACTAAGTCTGATGCAGTGCTTTCTAAAAGATATAGACGAGAGGCATGATGGAGACGATGGTGTTCGGAATTGGGTTTCAGAAATAAGAGAAGCTGCTTACTACATTGAGGCTGTTATTCAGAGTTTTCCTCGAAT